AAATAAGTTTATGGCCAAAATAATTAAAGCCCGTACACTACATCAGATTTTAATCAGATTGCGCATTTTCCAGTCAGCGAAATAAGCAAAATTAAAACCTGGTGAATAATTAATCCTTTTACAGTATATTAGCATGGTGTGATGCAAGCTGCCAGATGTAGAATCTGAAATTTAATGTTCACACAGAAAATTCTAATATGTACAAATCACTATTGCATTCTCAGCTTTACATAGTGTTCCAACATGACATAATCCTGCCTCAGGCAAGAACCTCAGAAATGTGCTTTTGATATTCTGTTGATGGAGTCTTTCAATCACCATTGAAACAATATTTATAATAAAGTCATCATGCAGTACAAAGTTTGTGTAACATGGCATAGTGTAGCAACTGAGACGCTTTAAAATACAGGTGATTGAGAAAAAAAAACGGTTTAGGAACTTGGATTTACTCAAACGCATTTCAATCAGATTGGTCCATAGTATTTTTTGATATTTCTGTACACATTATTTTCATGACACTACATATTCACCCATGTTGTGAAGTAAAGGGGGAACCACAGAAAACAATGTTATTTTAACTGTGTTAATGTTACACCACCATTCATCATAAAACAAGTCCCAGTCTAGTACAAGGGGTCAGGAAAAAAATCATAAATTTACCTAAAAAAAAATTATCACACACTGTAGTTGAAAAGAGTTCTCGGAAGGGAGTATATACAATTGAAATGAGGGGTACTGGAGGGGCAGGGTTAGGAGAGTTATTGTAACTAACAAATTTGAAACAATCAAATAAAATAGGTCTAAGTATACCTCTTCAAGGTCAAAATGAATGGAAATCACAATCAAAATTCAATGTCAAAATAATCGAGAACTTTTAGAAGCTTTTATACCAAAAATAGCAATGAGCAAATACAGCACCATCAGTTACAATGATAAATGGTGTAACAAAAAAAAAATGTCCGTTTCAATGGTACAGTCCAAGTTTCCCGCGGCATATTTTTTGCGCTGAAAAAAAAGCTACACTTTAAAGGTCGAATTTCCCTGTCAAACTGAACTGTTTAAATGACACATCATGAACTGAGAATGTACTACTAGGTCAGCGGAAATCTACAAGCACTACCAACGCAAACTGTCAGACAAAACGCGAGCGTACGAAATGAACACACATGACAACAAACAACAATACTCACTCCGCCATTTCGTCTCCAAAATGAAATGTTGTGTATGTTGCCGACCGTGTTATAGCGCCCTCAATGCATCTGAAATATGACAGGTTTGTTCAGTATTGAAGCGCGTTATTCTTTTGATGACTTATTGGACTAATTTCATATTTTAGTTTCTAATTAATACCAGCATATACATATGAAAAACAAAAAGCATTTATTAAACAGGAAAAAAACACATCACTGTCACAGTACAACGGAAGTGGTGAGATGCGAAACACAAACAAACTAACCCTTTCAAAATGGACGTTGTTGAGCTTTTGGCGTTTCAGGTAAGAAAGTAATTAAAAGTAGTGAGAAATGATTGAATTTTTAACTAATTAAATTCCAACATTTGAAGGTGTATATTTACTACAAACTGGTGAAATATGACTGTAAAATAACCTTGCGATATGGTGGTTGCATCATTGGAACGCTCACTAGCACATTGTCATTTGGAATGATCATTTGTATTACAATGCAACAGCATGTATGTTTATATTGCTGGCGGTGATTCACGGTAATCATAGATGGTTTTTAACTTTCCAATTTGTTCAGGGTCTCCCATCTCAAAGTTCTAAGCATAGATCGTCTATTGTATTGACACTGGCGTAATGTAAACACCCTAGTTGAATACATTGACCTAGCTGTGGATTCATAGCCCTATGTTGCCGACAGCATTATTTACGTGACTGACTCTGGCCGGCCCATAGGGCTATGGAGCCTTGTGCGACTGAATACCGGTTAAAATCCACATGCCAAACAATGACCAGAACCTATTTGCGCTGTGAAATGATAATGGTGGTCATAAAAAATTGACACAGAGTCAAAAACTGTACACCGAGTCCCAGAAAAATAACAAGACGAAAGACGCCATTTTGTATTCCAGAGTTTATAGCAAATTACGCGAGACCTATAATTTTGTACCACGTGACCGAAATCAGTAGATAAATTGCGTTTATGCAACTAGTTTCTATTATTAAACAAAAATCATACAATTATAAATACTGTATGTGATTGCTTTCTTGGAACAATTAGAATAACGGGAAGAGTGAGTTTTATTCTTCCACCACTGTATCATATGACGGCCAAACGAGATTACATTTATTCTGCGCTAGGGAGTGTGGGATGTCAATGGCTGCCGTTTTCTCGTAATTTGCTTGGTTTCCGCGGTAATTGTTGCTTATTTATAAACACAAATTGCAAACAAAAGTTTGTATGTTATTCATCCAGCGATCAATTCACAATAAAGGTACGTCACACCATCGTAATCGAAAGCAAAAGCGATTTAATTTACGTATGCCAGATTTCTGTTTTTAAACGGTGATAGATCCCGTAGCTCTATGTTCGACATACAACAACAAAATTAAAAAAAAGACGTCCAAATGAAATTGTTAGGGCGAAATTCGATTGTAGGTTGCACCAAAGAGCTACGGAACCGCAGATAACATTGACCGTGAAGGTGGATATTCAGATGGGCCATTCCATTTTTTTTCCACACCCCTCTACAGATGGATATTAAGGTTATGACACCCTATGAATTCAAATCCACTATTCAGGTGTTGGATTTTTGTTAACTAACACACCCTCCTGGACGCATACGGATGGGTGTGCTAAAAAAAATAAATATATCAAAAATATTACACCTCTCTGAAATATTACCCCTCGGATTTATCTATCTTTAGGGGGGGTAAAAACTGGAATGACCCTCTCAAAGTACGCTGACCCGGTGTCGAGAATTTACGAAAAGGAACTACTGGTTCAAAAATTAGGAAAAAAACTAATAATATAAAAATACAAAACCACTTGCAAAATAATATGGCAGGAAAAATATTGATGTTCAATATTAAAAAATTTACATTGACAACAACATTCCCCCAGGATTCACCATGTGCAACATCTATACTCATTCCTTCTATAGTCCATATATCACTGACAAAATTTATTAAAAAAAGGGTTTCCTTAAAAGACAGCAACACCTCCTCCCAAATAAACTTTAAGTTTTTTTTTTAATTGTCTTTTGCTTATTACAAGTGTTATGTCTTGAATACTGTATTTTATAATAGTTTTTTTTTTTGCAATTATTGTTTGTATATTGTTGCAAGTTTTGTTAGTGAGTGCATGTTTTCTTTGTTATATAACCATTTTAATTTGTTTCGAGGATTTTAAGCATTCTTTGATAAATTGGTCTGAAAATGGACCAAATTTGTATTCAAACAATGTTTTAGAAGCTAGAAGCTAATTTGAACCAAAATCACATTGAAACCAGATATCCTAGCCTCGCATCATACCTATATAGCCATGGTTTACATTTTTTTTTTATATATCACAAGGGCAGGAAACTGTTTTCTAACCAATGTCTATACTCTTATTTAACTGCAGCCTGATAAACCACACTTAAAACGAAAACGAGAAGAGAATGGCAAGGGAAATGAAGCGTTTCCCCAGAAATCACGACCGTCAGACCGGAGACTCAAGGCATCTAACTATGATGCTCAACCCGAGACTGGGATAAGTGAAGAAGAAAAAGAACGAATTATGAAATTATTAGATGAGGAACCTGAGGTATGCATTTGCAGCACTTGAAATTAACAGTAGTCCAAAGCGAATGTTCTTAGAACTACTGTGATGGTACAATGCCAGAGGCATCTATTAGAGCATCTACACATATGAGAAATGATGAAATTTTGGTTCCAAATTGTTCAAAAAGAATGGGTGCGACTTCTATTAGGGATGCAGCTTCTAATACAGTTTTTATGGTACCATTTTTTCCAAAATAAGTAGCTAAACTGGACTACTAGGAATTTACAAAATAATCATCATAGTATGACTTTAAAGCTATGGGAGTAATGCAACATTTATTTTTTCATATATACTTTTTTTGCATGGCTCTATGTACTGTACTTTCTGAGTCTGATTGATTACCAGTACATTGATATTTTACCATAAGACTACATGTATCTGCTTTAAAACTGGTCACAGGAAATTCTGTTTAAGCGAGGTAGTTGTCATCTGCGCATGCGTCAGATGGTCATAGCGTGTCATTGTTTACAAGTGTCTACCCATGAGCCTTTGCGTTTTTAGTGCGTGTTATCATCACTTGGGACTCAATTCAAGCTTGTGCGCAGGTGACGACCTTTCCGCTTTAAGTTCAATCATTGATTGGAATGATAAGGATCAAAATTTTTGTTTTTCTTCCATACTGTAACATTTTTCTCTTTTAAGATTGATCTGTTATTAGCCATCAGATTTGTTTCTTTGTGCAGCCATTAGGTTCCTTTCTTCAGAATTTATAGGGTTAATTTTCTACTTATGTTCAGCATGCTCCCAAAGAAAATTTCAAAGAGCAATGCATGACTGGATTTTTTTGTAGTGAAGACAATAATGAATGGTCGATGCATGACGAAATCATTTCAGGGGTTGATCAGCTCACAAACTTTTACATTCAACAATGTGGTAAGTTTTCTGCTTCTTTTATGTAGGCAGAAGTTTTAGATGAAACGTCGCTCCGAAGGTTGCTGTTGTCATTTGAAAAAAAAGTTTTACGCAATCAGGAAATGAGGATAAAGTATCCTGATCAACCTGAAAAGTGAGTACTTTGTGATCACTGATACTGTAAAATCTGTATTAGAAACCGCAGCTTTTATTAAAATGGTACAATGCAACAGAGGGAATGCGGCTTCTATTAGAGCATCTACACATATGAGGAATGATGAATTTTTGGTTCTCAATTATTCAAAAAGAATGGGTGTGACTTCTATTAGGAATGCGGCTTCTAATACAGATTTTACAGTAATTGATGTTTGGGGGGGTGGCAAAATCATCATGAGAATCATTTCCTATGACTTACAGTTAACATTACATATACTAAACTAACGGTTCTTAGGCCTTGTTGCATGACTTCACATCTGCCCTTTACTTTTAGCTTCCAGTTCAAACGTTTGAACAGTTTTCTCTGA